GTAAGGGCCAGAGAGCACTGGCAATACTCACTTTTGCAGCCCTGTCCACCTCTGAAGCAGCTTGGTGATCAGCAGCTGCTTCTTTCCTGGAAGTATCCCTGAAAGATGAGATCCCAAGGTTGCACAGGACAGTTGTTGCCTCAGGCTGCTCTGGACTGGTACAAATCCCTGTCCTCTCACAAGGGCTCTGTAACCCACCCCAGGAGCTGGGTGGAGAAGTTGTTGTGGGGGAGACCTGCAGCCAGCACCCGAACCAGCTGGGCTGGGCAACAGCATAGCCTCCCCCATTTAATTTAGCAGACTGACTCCCTCTAAAACCACAACAGGCTAAAAAGGGATAACTGTCTGCTCAGAGCCTTTCCTTCCAATGCTGCCCAAGAACAACACACTCCAAGAAATGCAACTGCATCTGACAGGTCCAGCCAGCCTTGGACCAAGCCTAACATGATCCATGCACAAATAGCAGCACCCAGCCCAGCCCTTGCTGTGTAGTGCTGCCCTCTGAACAACCCTGTGGGAGCCACACACCCAGTACCCACCTGTAATCCACATATTCCTTCTTCCAGAACTCTGGTGTACTCTCATTGGGCTTTCCATGCTTGTCCAGCAGACCCTTCTGGATCATCATTTTCTTCTGAGTGGCCTGAAAGCCAAGTGCAAGAAGTCAAACTGCAGCTCCAGGTAGGAAAAATCTTCCCTCAAGCTAAGAGAAGGGAATCTAGCAACAAGCCAAGCAAACAACTGCAGCATTACCTATTTACCACTGCTCAAGGACCTTAAATAAGACAGAACATCCCCTGCACAGAAGCCTAAATCTCAGACAAGAAGCATCTTTATCAGTAAATAAAGGCTAATCTGAAGGGACAGTCACAGCAACAGTAATACAACTATAATAACACATCATGGAGTCTGGATCTTTGACTGGGTTTTTCCAGCTTAATGACCTGCAGCATTTGAGCTGAACCACTTGTTTGCGAGGTTTTGCCAAGGACTCCAAAATGCTTGAAGTGTCCTGTATTACCCCATCTTTGCTGTGAGACATGTGCAGGCTGCCCCAAAGCTTTCACCTCAACTACAGGAATGGGATGAGTCACAGCAACTTGACAGATTTTTGAGTCCAACCTGCATCAGGCCAGCCTGGCTGCAGTTAAGCTACTACCACGTGCCTGAGGTGGGAGAGGAACCCAACACTGGGTGTTCCCACTGCTCCTGTCCTTCAGGCACAGTTTCCTGTCTCACAGTCTAAATTTCAGCAGTGTTGCACCAGAAGGAAAAGAAGCACCTGCCCAGCCCCTCCAGAGCCATCAGCATGGGGTGATGGATGAAGGTCATCTTTGCACAGAGTGCTAATGCCATCCACTTCACATCATTTGGCTCTTCACCAGAGGAGGGCTGGCACTGTACAGATCTGAGGAGCCCATGCCTCAACACCAGAAGTGGCCCCCAGGCTCTTTTCGGGGGGAAAGCCTCGCTTCTACCAGCAGTGGGCTGCCACAGCCCTGACACTGGGAATTGCCACCATCAGAGCAGGATTGCAGCAGGGCCCTGAAATAGACACAGGCACAGCTCTGCCCAAGGGTCCCAAAGTTCCACATCTCAACAGTTGGGCTCCCACCACTGCCCTGAGACTGACCCCACTCCCACAGGACTCTCACCTTGGGACCCAGCCCCCATTTCCGGGGATATGTGTCTCTCTCCATGATCACTCTCTTGATCTTTGCCACGAAGCCATGGTCACACGTAGAAATGACTGCTGTGGTCATCAAGGCAATGGCTGCAGAAGCAGACATGGAGGTCAGTAACTCCTAAAGAGCAGAACTGTGTCAGCCTGTTCTGCCTCTGTCAGCACAAAGATGACCAACATCTCCCACCAGTGTCACCCCAAGGACTCACTGACTGTCACACAGCTCCTCTGAAGACCCTGGTTAGAACTGGGCACCCTTTCAAGTCAAGCTGGCAGTTGTTGGAGTCCCTTTGCAGTGATCTACCAGGAGGTGTGATGTGCCTGGTGGCAGCATGTGATCAGACACCATGCCTCGTCCTAGTGAGGCTGGAGCCCCCAAAGAGGGGCTCCAACCCTGCCAGCACTGCTCCCCTCCTGCAGGCAGCCAGCCACACACCACAGCAGCTCCCAGTAGGACACTGGGACAACTGCAGGATGTCTGGAGGCTGCACAGCACCCAGACCCTAGAACAGGAGCTGGGGTGCTGCAGGAGGGCAGCTCCACTGCACTCAGAGAATGGATAAACTGTGTCATCACCTCACACACAGCACACCTCAGCATCACACAGCTGCTGAGCCCCTCACACCTTGCCCAGGACTGATGCAGCTACTGTTTCTTAACATCCTGCCCAAAACCAGCTGCCTTGGGCCCACATTCCCTATCAGGAAGCACTAATTACACCTTCTGCACACAGGAACTAATTTGTGGTGCCTTTACTGTCACACAGTCTTATTTCTGCAATTAGCTGGACACAAAGAGAAAGAGGCATTTCATACCTAGGCAGATGGCTTCTCCTTTTGTGGTGATGACAACAATTTCCTGATTAACCTCAATCCCATCCTCATACCGCAGAACACCAGGCAGCATGATCTTGGCTCCATAGCAAATGGCATTAACCTGAAAATGTAGGGAATGGGAGGGCTTAGAAGCTATTACAAGAACTGAAGTACAAAACATCTCTAATTTTTAGCTTCCCACTGCCACCACCATCCCATTAATATCATCCCAAGGTAACTACTCATTTTGTCCACTACATAAAATTTGGGAGCTTTGGAAGGAGAAAGCAAAGCGCCTATCACAGCAAAAGGTGTGTGAGGCAGATTTCTCATAACCATCAGCATCCTCCTCAAGTGAGGAGAGCAGATTCTCTGTCATTTAATTCATTGCTCGTGCACCCTAGTGCTGCTCTGGCAGCAGCCCATATGAGGTTCCACACAAGTCACCATCAGGACAGCACAGGACATCACACAGCTCCTGACCCCCTGTGTGTTCTATCAGCTGCACAAGTCAGGAGGACACTTTGCAGTCTCTGTCTGTCCCCTGGCACTGCCTCAGGAACTCACTGCACTGTCTTTCATGACGAGCCTCTTGTGGGAAGTCAGCAGCTTCTCCAGGGGCAGGATGACCCTTCGCAGGTAGCTCTCATCCTTGTTGTTGTCGTACTGCCACTGGGCATCCAGCACGTCGTGCATGGTCACCATGTTGTCCTGCAAAGACAAAACCCTTCTAAAGTCTCCCACCAGCCACCAACTTGAAACATGCACAAGGGAATAGCTGAAGTCCAACAGCAAGTAATGTTTGAAAAAGGGAATAAAACCAGATGCCCATCACAAGCATGAAAACACAACTTAAAAGAGGAAAGAATACTTTCTATCGGTAGCTGGAGGTCAGACTGGCTTGAGCTACCAGACTTCGACCTTCCTAATCTCAGACAGCATTTGGGTCTAAGGTCTGCCCACATGAAACCTTTGAATATGACCTAAATTAAATTCCTGGGGGCTCCTAGACAAAGGTTAGTGAGCACTAGTCTAAATTAACCATCTCTTTAATCTGTGACACTGAATAAATTCTGAGGCAGCTGTGAGCACCCAACAGCTGGAATTCAGAAATGAGCCTGTGGTTACAGCTGTGCTAAGAGCACAAATGGGTGGGGAAGCACTTGCACTCTCATACTGCTGTTTTGCAAAAAAAGAAATGAGTTCTGGAGTTTGGACCAGCAGCAGGACCTGTCTATCACCAGAGTGCAAAGACTGTAAAAGAGTTGAAGATCGCTTAAGACTGCTTCTCCAGGCTCATTCCAGTGAGCCACATTCCCTGAGCTGTGCTGACTCCAAGCAGTCATTTCACACTCCTGGACTTGTAGGACACTGGGGTCTGTAGGCTGAGAAACACAGGTGGCATAAAACAAACTTTCAGCCACCACTATGCACTTCCCAGTCATTCACTATCCCAAAGTTTAATTACCAGAACAGGAGCAACATCCTGAACTGAACTCAACACTTTGGTTAGAGACCACCTACAGCAAGAGCTCTCACTGCCTGGGGGATATTCACAGAACTCCCTGAGGCTAAACCTCCTCCTAACACTGTAAAACTCACACAGTCCCAAGGAACTCTTGCAATTCTGACAGTTTCAAATGAGCTGGTTATAGTTTGAGGTGCCACTGTACCATCTCTCCCAGGATGCCCGAGCGGACTCTGCGGAGCTCCTGCATCTGGCCCCCCACGCCCAGCAGCAAACCCAGGTGAACACAGAGGGTTCGGATGTATGTGCCCGCTTCACAGCTCACCCAGAAGATACCTAAAAGGCAGGGCAGGATACAGAGTTTTTAAGCAGAAAATAAACCACATCCTTCAAGAAAAGCTGTATGCTCAGCCCTTCCCAGAGCCATCAGTATGGGGTGATAGATGAAGGTCATCTTTGCCCTGAGAGCTAATGCCATCTAATTTACATCATTTGGCTCTTTACCAGTGAAAGGTGCAGCAGTACAAAAAGGGATGAGATTTGCTTCCCAGCACACCGAAGTCATGCATGAAGCAGTTACTGCTGGACAATGGGAGGATTTAGGTCTTAAGACATCTGCCAAAAGCAGCACATTTCACAGAAAATTTTATCAGTTGTCAGTTTTACAGGAAGAAGGCAGAAAAGCCCTATTTTACCTAATCTTCTCTCAGGATCATACTCCACCAGCTTGCTCTCATAAATGGTTCTGACTCTCAGTTGTCGTTTGACAGCAGCAATGAGGGGTGGCCGCTGGAACAGGGCACCTGTCAGGGTTTCTATGGCCTAAGGGAAGAAGGAGAAGCAAGAGTTCACACCTGTGCCCTAATGCAGGAGCACCCTGGAGTCTGCAGCAACTGTGTCCACTTCCAAGAGTGAGAAACCACAAGGTTTATCCTGATTTGGTGATGTCATATTTAATAAAGCAAATCCAAGCCAGTGATGTGATCGAGATGCCAGTGAGCACTGCCAGGATTTTTCCATTAGATGGCAGCATGTGATCAGACACCATGCCTCGTCCTAGTGAGGCTGGAGCCCCCAAAGAGGGGCTCCAACCCTGCCAGCACTGCTCCCCTCCTGCAGGCAGCCAGAGGATGTCTGGAGGCTGCACAGCACCCAGACCCTAGAACAGGAGCTGGGGTGCTGCAGGAGGGCAGCTCCACTGCACTCAGAGAATGGATAAACTGTGTCATCACCTCACACACAGCACACCTGAGCTCCATTCCTGGCCCCTCATCTCCCACCAGTGCCCAGCACTCTGCATGCCAGATGCCAGCATGGCTAAGAGCACATGAGACTTACCCTGGCCAGCTGAGCCTCACTTTCAATGGCATTGTGCAGCCGAACAATTCCCACATACTCTTTGCCTGAAAGAATGACAAGAGCAGTCAGGAGCGGCCACTTGAATTTGATGTTGACCTCAAGGTCCATTCTGCTTCACAGCCACATGTCCCCAGAACCCTGAAATCCTAACATCCCTTCTAGGAAATGGGCATCTTTTATTACAGAGCTGGCTATTCTTCCAGGGAAATAAATCTAAGCTACATGTATTCCTTCTCTGGACTTGTGGAGGCTGAGGCCGTAAGTTCCACTAGTGGATAAAGCCATGTCAGAGGTGTTTTCACTGACTTAAAACCGCTCAAGCACCAGAAAAGCAATGGAAAAATCACCTGAGACAACACAGATGTGTCCTCAGTGGCTTGGAGTAATGTGCAACCCTTAAGGTCATGGCACTGAAAACTAAGACTGGCATTTTCAAGTTCTAGAAATCTTTATATTGTCTCCAAAATCACTTCACACATCCCTGGTCACTGCAGATGGCCCTGAGCATCAAACAAACCTGCACTTTGTTGAGATTTGACCAGCCGTGTGGCCCTCTCGATGCACACAATGAGGCACCCAGTCACCTTGGGATCCAGGGTGCCACTGTGCCCCGTCTTCTCCACGCGCAGGATGCGCCGGATCCACGCAACCACCTCGTGAGAGGATGGATTGGAGGGTTTGTCGAGGTTAATAAAGCCAGACCTAGAGTGCAAAATGGCAGGGAATGGGAGCTAAGCATCAGGCCAGACATGGCAACAGTGCAGTAACTTTGAAATATTGTCCTGGCTGCAAAGAGATGTATTTCTATACAGCCAGATCAGCAATGAGCCTCCCAGCAGCTCTCAGTGAGCCCACACCCACCTGCTCCATGCACAGCAGATTATACAATCCATGCTCAAGGAATTCTCCCTTGCCTTATCACTACTCTGCATTTAAAAAAAAAACCAACCAAATTCTACAAACTCCAAGCAGTTTCAAAGCCCAGCAGGCTTTGAAGAGACTTTTTTGAAGAGCCCAGAGAATTCCTTAGGTGGTTTGCACGTCCATCCACAGACCTGCTACAACTCCAGAATAAATAAAACTTTACAGGAAGAGATCAGTGGGTCCTATTTAAATGCTCAGCGATTATGGCAAGGCACTGGGTGAAGAACAAAGGTACAAGGGGAATCCAGCCAGAAAGTATTTTGAAGGTGTTAACTGTCAAAAAAAATATAAAGCACTCTGGCCTGTACTGAACTCACCTAACATAGTCAGAAATCTCTCTCTTCAGGGGATTAGAACCGGAAGGAAGAGGTGTGTAGTGTGCTGTCCTCACATTTAACTTGTCAAAGTTCTATAAAATCCAAGCAGAAGTTACAAGTCTTTTAAAGCTCCCTTGATTTCAGTGTTGCTGTGTTGCAGTACATCTCCCCAGATACATCAGGTTTGATTTGTACATTTAAGCGATAGAGCCACTTCCAAAATGAAAACGGCCCAACAATGAAACTACAATAATATTTTACAAAAATCGAGAAAAAACAGAAATCCTGAAGGAGATGGGAAGGCAGCACAATGTATGCATTGATAATGCAGGATAAACCAAACATTCCCCAGAAACTCAGCAGAAACAACCTGGATGTCAACACGCACTACAGGCCATGGCCAGACCCAAATTAAAAACTCAACCAATATGGCGGGATCTTTCCAAGGCACGGAAAACTCACAAAACTGAATCGATACTGCTGGAGAGAGTGCATATCACGATTTCTGAGGGCAGAGCACCACGTGCGCTGCTCCCTGCAGCGGGGCGACACCTGCGGGGACAGAGGACAAAAGGAGCGCCACAGAACGCGCCCTACCTTCAGCAGCAAGGGCCACTGCGACGTGTCCAGCTGGGCCACCCGGGATTCGGGCCTGATGAGAAAGTCCTCGGTGTGCTGGATGTCCTGGGGGGGAGGATGGAAGCGGGATCAGGGAGGGGGAAGGCGGAAGGCCGCGCTCCCGCCGCCGCACGTGGCCGGGGAGGCTCCGCGGGGCGAGCCCGTCCCAGCCCTGCCCTCGCTCCCGGGGATGG